TGAAACCAGCTCTTGAGCCCCTTGCGTGGGATTCTGGCGGGGTGGGCCCAGGCTCCCTGCTCTAGAGGCCTCTAGGGACCCAGTTTCTTCTCCTCCCTCCTCCTTCCTTTCTTTCAAAATGCTGACCCGACTCCGTTGCAGGCCTGCCCTTGGTCCTGCCCTCGTAGGTCTCACAGGGTGGGCAGCCCACGCGCCTCCCCCTCCTGGGAGCCCCCCTGGCCTGCATGCCTGGGAACCCCGGCGCATACCCCAGCTCCAGAAACGCTCTGTGGCCGTCACAGCCCTCCTCTCGGTTGTTCCCTACACCCCAAGACCCCGCAGAGGCGCCCAGAAGTTCATGCACGAGGACCAGGTGGGGTGGGCTTAGGGCCGGCTGCCCGAGCCACAGTCGGTAAGACCTGGGAGCTGTGCTGCTCTGCGGATTCACATCCCAGCTCGGCCTTTACTGGCCATGTGGCTTCGCCTCTATGCCTCAGTTTCCTCATCCGTGAAATGGGGCTGAGAGTCCCCCATGAGGGTCAAATGTTACTGTCTTCTTCTAATGAGATTCCTGAGGCTGGGCGGGGTTAAAGGGTCCTCCCACCGCCACTCTGCCTAACCTGGGACCCCCCCCCCCACTTCCCTAGCCACTGTGAGAGGAGTGGGGGGCCCCCTCACGTCTCCCCAAGTAGTGCTTGGGTCCTCAGAGATGCTCGGGCAGCGGTTGAGGATGCGGTTTGAGAATTCCTGTCTGAGCCCTGCTCCCCGGGGCCCTTCAGAGGAACCCAAACCTCTCCCAGGAGCCCTGGGGATAGGGGGAGGCGGGCGAAGCCCTTGCTGGCTCCCTGGACCCCCTCCGCTTCCTTCCTCAGACCTTCCTGCCTGCACGTTCCGCAGCTCCGAAGCCCCTGCGTGCACCCCCCTTCCCCCCGCCGGTGTTAATGTGTTAAATCCACATCAAGGTCCGGGGGACCCACTGTTTATTTTTGTGAGCGTGTTGGCAGAGATCGCACTGGGGGGAGGGGAGGCGACCGATTTGGTCAGAATAAATGCTAATTAATAAAAGTTATTTATTTGGGTTGGAGCTCGCCCTGGCCCCGGGGTCAGGCGCAAACTGACTATTTGAAGCAAAAACAAATAGAGAGGGTCCCTCGGCAGCTTGAGAAAGGCCTCGCCGAGAGGCGGGTTTATTTGTCTTGGGAAGAATTTGCCGTTAATTCCCTCCAGACTATTTAGGCCCTTAAATTACACGGAATAAGAAAAACCATGGGTGCGGGGGAGAGGAGCCAGGAACACTTGATCATCTGGCCGAGAGCAGAGATTTTAAATGTCTTTGGCCCGCAGTCAGCCAAATGACTGGTATGTGTGAAATAATGTGATGGCAGAGCGCTGCGCCCAGTCACTTTTTTCCATTGTAATATAATCGGGCCGGAGTCATCGGGGCGCAGCCTCCCCCAGCCCCGGACGTTTCTCTCCGCCCCGACCCCGCCCGCTCACGCCAGCATCTGAACCGCCCGGGGAAAGGGACGCGGTTTCGGGCTTCGTTTTTAATCCCAGAGAAAAGCAGAACTTTTATTGAGCGCAAGGGAACTTTGGGCACAGCCCGGCTTGGCCCGAGCAGGCCTGGGTGCTCGCTAGCCCGAGGCTCAGAGTATTTGTTTATTTCCCAAATGCTCTGAGCCCACCACCGTGCATTTCTCAGGAGCCGATCGCTGGGAAGCAGAGGCTGCCCGGGAGCCCTGGCTGAGTCCAGAGCTCTGGGTTCGAGTCCTGGGCCGCCTCCGAGACGCTGCTGGACCGTCCTCAGCCTGGCCTGCCTCTCCTCCGCCCGCTGCGGGGACTCACACCCCGTTTCCACAGTGGGCTCGGGCCACGCAGGGGGGCCTTGCCTCCACGCCCCACGCGGCTGGCACACGAATGTGTGGTGCGAAGGGCAGCGAGCATGTCCTGGGCACTTGCTATGCTCTGGACGCTGAGTTAAACTCAGCTCCTGACGGGGACCTGGTGTGACCTCGGGCTCCGGCGGTGAGGTCTTCCTTTAGAACAAAGGGCCCCGCCCTGGCCGGGCAGCTCAGCTGGTTAGAGCATCGTCCGGATACACCCACATGGTAGGTTCAAGCCCCGGTCAGAAACCAGCCAATGAAGGCATAAGCAAGTAGAACAACAAAACCCATGTTCCTCTCTCTCTTTCTCTCCCCACCCCTTCCACTCTCTCCAAAATCAATCAATCACAATTTTAAAAAGCAAAATAATGTTATTTTTTTTAAAAAAAGTGCCCGGTGCGCCCTTCCCGTGGGCTGGGATGGGGACTCGGGTGCTTGGGCACCAGCCGGATGCGTGAACCTGGAGACCCCTCCCCGGCCCACAGGTCACCTTCCTTAGGAGCGAGGCGGGTGAGGGGAGACCCCATGGACATGGGCTCAGCCTTTGAGCAGACAAGAATTCCGACCCCAGCCGCATGGCCTTGGGCAAAGCCCTCAGCCTCAGTTTCCCCGCATGTGAAATGGGTGGTTGGGGGGATTCAGTGGGCGGATCCTGCCCAAACCAATTGTTTGGGGCGCATCCCATCTGAGCCGCCTGGGCAGG